GACTATTTTAACCAGTTATTTTGACTCAGCACAGAGATTTATCCATAGGCTATGGGATAAATGTGAAAACTGGCGGACCGGAAGTGGTTAGAAATCAGCTGAAATCACTTTTCCCAGCCTAGTCAGGAAAGTTTCAATCGGATACCAACTTCAGTGTCGTAATCACACAGTGAACACGCGTGGGGGACGGAGGGAGGGGGGGTTATACGTTAACCATCACAGGTGTCCCCCATGGTTCACGATGCCAGCCAAAACAAACACAAAGGACCAACTCCAAATTTATATAATCAAATAAAAGAAAAAATAAATATACAATAATAACATCAACAATAAAAACAAACGGAATCGTAATAGTAGGCTGCATCTGTCAAAAACAAACGACATTTTAAGTGGGGTCTTACCGGACACTTTGGATTCTTTGGCAGCAGAATTCTGTCCATCGGGGAGACCTTGCGACGACGATATCTGGGAGGACTGAGTATCCATTTTACTGAAGCTCAACGCACGCGCGGCACCGAAATGTCTGTCGCTTAAAAATCAGATAAACGCTCCTGTCCTCTTTTTCTGAGAGTAGCTGGTGACCTCGCCTCGGTTCTGCTCCTCACCACAACGCCTGAGCTCTGAGAGCAAAAGGGAAACAAGGCAGAGCAAGATTATGGAGGAGGGGTAAAGGGAAAAAAAAAATGTCCGCTGAGATGCGTTCACTAGCTTCCTGTAAATTCCAGCGTCACATTTTTAGCACAGCTTTTCAAATTGTTAAAAAAAAGAAAAAGCTAACCGTTAATATGTTAACAACTCATTGTAACATGCACACTTTCATTATGATGGCTAATGAGGTTTGATATGTATTCTACAAAACACTCTACATCTACTTTTTTCTTTTGAAGCTGAAATATTCGACGCTAAGGAAAGATATCAGATAGAATATTCCTGAACACAGAGCAGATCCATTAGAATGGGTGTAATGGTTGAAGGACTGCTCTAAATACGATCGGTCTTTCTATGCAAGACTTTGGACAGATTTTGCAGCGTATTTTATTCACATTAAGTTGTTTTACTTATTTATAATTTCATAAACCTCACATTGGCAGCTTATTTTTACCCTTTCTAATACTTTTTAATGAAATAGTGCTATGAATGATAAATTAAAGTGTATTTTTTATGTTACATATGTTACCCATTATGTAACGCTTACCTTTTGTTCTATTTTGAGGCTCATTTATGTCGTAACAACCCAATGCTGCCCTCTTTTGATAGTTTTCTAACGATCTGCTTTGAAAAACTACATTTCCCATGATGCGCAGGGAGAAGGGGAGCTAAGATTTACATACAGAGGGATGGACCCTTTCTCTGTGCATAGATCTCGACATAGCGCTGTGAGATCTGCTGAGACTGGGTGACGTCATGTGTCGTACCCACTCCGAGCAATTTTCGGGCAGAGCGAAGTGCGCGGTAAAAAGAAGAGGGGGACACAAACAAAAACATGTGGCTTCCTCTATGAGAACGCGGGTAAGTAATGTCTTAATAAGGAGCTAATTCTGAAAGCCGAGAGCAGCTGAGTGTAATTCAACAGAGCGGCCCAGTTTGATGGTGTATTTCACTAAATAGTGAGCGGAGATGGATTGGTTCAGAAGGTTAGTTTAGCTAACTAGCAGCCTGGTAGCTTGTTAGCTGGTTTGGAGCTGCGCAGCCGCCGCCGTCTGTCCCGCTGCTAACAGACTTTTTAAAAATAAAAGGTTAAATTCCCGGTTCCGATTGTATGACGTAATTAACTTATTAACTAACGGAAGAGAGATAAGAGAAAAAAGAAAGGGAAGCAAAGCTTTGAGGTAATGAATGATTCAGAGCTGGAAAGTTAGCAGGTTAGCATCGGTCAGTCGCGTGCTGTGATAAACACTCTGACTTTATTCATTCTTCTGGCTTCTCTATGTCTGAATCTTGTGATTAATGACCGGGATGAGCTGTGATGAACTGAAGCAGCTCTGCTCCGCGGCTTGGCGCTGAGTGGCGGCTGTCTGGCTGCCCCGCCCACCGCCGCCCAGCCTCCAGCCGCGCTTAGCGCAGCTAGCCGCGGCGGCTCCCCCTATCATAACCGATCTCTGTTTATCCACTGGATCTCTGATTGCTCGATGGTCAAGTGAAGCCACCGGACGCCATATTGGTACTCCCTAGTTAGACCGGTCACAATGTAAACAATCTGTGCGCTACAGATGGTGTTCTCATTTTCAGGGGGACTGAAGAATTTTAAAATAAAGATAATTCATCACTTTTCATCACTTTGACACAGACTGGCTGTTTCATAGCATCAGTAGTTTAACTTTAACTTAGAATTAAACATGCAATTCACATTGCATAGATTTTATGAAGTCTATTAATCATCTAATATAACATATAATACTAATCTATCACAATAAAATGTGTTAATGGAGCAGAATAATACAGATGAGCTAAAAGTGCTAAATTGATGATGAACATGTATTTATTCCATTGTTATGGTAATTAAATATTACATATAATGTCAAGATTTTACATAAAATTTGAATTAAAAGTACATATCTGATAATTATGTAGCATTTTTGTATTTGTGGATTGTGCATGCATTTATACA